AATCCTATAAGTTTGCCATACTGCCAATTTTGTTAATAATATCAATTCAATAATTTTGGAGGATTTGGTTGTCGGCATCTTATCGAAATGGAATTTTCAGAATTTCTTTTCTCAACTCCGGTGATTTTATCCGAGTTGATGCCTTCTTGAAAATGGCGTCCGAGTTGCAATTTTAATTCTGCAATATACTGTAAGTATTATGAAATCATATTAGCTTCACAATTTTGCGATGTTTTCGATAATTTACATGCTATTTCTTTAGTGAAAACCACGTCAACTAACGACAAAACGAATCTTTCAAGAACACTATGAAAACATTGGTAAATTGTAAGTTATGTCTTTCAAATTTTGTTTATTATTCAAGCAAAAACAGCTGATCTTTATAATTAAAAGGTTTGCAAATTAAAAGTTTTATTGTTAGGAATGAGGACGTCTTCGGGAAAAGAATTCGCTCTCTCGATCACAACGAAAAATCGTGGATGGAACGGATCGATTCGGAGCGTTCGTAGGTTGCTCCATAGCACTGAATAGGAGGATACCAGGAAAGTATTGTTGAAATTGATTTATTGTGCACTTGAAATGGACCAGATTTTCATCCATTCCTTTCGAACCGGATCCATTGTAAAATTTTATATGATAATGATTTGACGCGATCATCGATACCATCTCTTTCTCACCTTTTCTTTGTAAAAACCAGCTGGTCGCCTAGGATAGCGGGTGTGGAGGTAGAATTCGATGAAAAATGGAAAAGCCTAGACCGAACTTTCAACGGGAAATTAATGTTTTATCGATTTTCTTTTGCACATCATGTTGTTCCAAAAGCCTGGCCGTCGAAATCCTGGTGGGCTTTGACATTTTCTTTTTTATTCATAATAGGCATATTTTGTTCAAAAAAAATGCTGAGCCTGTAAAAGTATATCATTGGAAAGATCTCAGACGATGATAGCGGAGTATCCCCGTGGAGGGGGATGCCAATTAAGAGATCCCCCAGAATCACATTCAGTAATTTTTCGAGAAAACAGGAGCATCAGATGCTGCACAGCAGTTTGCCTCGAATAGGAAAAGTTATAAGATCAGAAATACGCAGTGTTAACCGCATTGATAAGCGAAAATGCTCAGAAAAGAAAACGACAACTAGCAAATCCACTGCTACGCACCGTGCACGGACGAATAAAAAGAATATAAAATTTTCCCTACGCATTAAAAGTCCCGACGATCCGCATGGCGCGAAGCATATAAAGGCACGCGAATAAAAAGTAAGGTAAAATAGAAAAATTAAGCATTCAGCCAGCAAATCAACGGCCAGAACTTGGAGAAAAAGAAAAAGTATAACAGTATAACCTATCAAAAACTCATCATCAAACGCTTAAGCCCGTTGAAGCCGTAAAAAAAAGAGCTTCGAGGAAAATAGGAGAAGAAAATTTCCTGGAAAAAAATGTCCATCAATGACACTGTTTTGTATCCGCGAAGGACCGATAAATCGATATTAAAACCGAGGATTTCCGGTGCGCTTCCACCTAATGTTGCACACCTCGTGTAGGGAAAATAAAAGATTAACAAAATCGCACGTCATCTATACTTCAAGGTCAATTTTTTTGAAGATGAAGTCAATCGATATAAAATGCCTTAAGACACATCACACAGAGACCAGCTAAAGAATTTCGATCGCAAGAGCACAGTTTGGTAGCTAATATCCGAATGCTGCCTATACCGATAGACCAAACGTATTTCCTTTATATACCAAAAGGATGTTTAAGAAATAAGAAACGTTGGATGTAGCTGTTTTCAAAAAAAAAACCAAGACCCCCATAAATCAGCCACGATCGCTAAGCACCAGCGACGCAGTATGCAAATTCGACGAGGAGAAAATAGGCGTCGTTGTAAGGCAAAAAATGGTTCAGAGTTGAGGATATAAAAGCAGCCAGCACCCCGGAGTAGCACCTTGAACACAAATTCGTCAACAAGATGAGCGACTACTGCGGCAAACACAACGCGTTCTACGAAGCGTTAGATGTTATGAGGATGGAAAAAGACATCGACGACATCCTCGATCTTGTCGACAACTTGGAGTCGCTGACGGCCCACGCAGAGACCAGGCAAGCTGCCGACAAGGAGGATCGCGAATGCTGGAAGGACGTGGCCGACCTGGTGGACGCGGCTCTACCTACTACGGTCGCACGTCTTCACAGACACGCTCTAGAAGCCCTGTGCGAGACAACTCGGAAGATGGTGGTCACTGCGATCATCGCCGTGGAAAAACGCATCAGCGAAGCGGCCGAAGGATGGCGAGCAGCCGCTCGAGTTGGTGCGGAAATGGAATGGCGAGGGGTCCACCACTGGATGGACTCCGGCAAAAAACCGATCTTCGGGATGCGGATGGAGAAGGCAACTAGGCTGCGATCGGAGCTGCGCCAAGCATGCAGGGAGAGGTCATCCGGTTTCGCAGGGATCGCCGTATTCCTCGACCAGGTGGCCCCCACGATGCCCTTCCAGGACGAGTGGAAAAAAACTACAAGCCATCGCGGCAAAAATTAAGATTCTTGATGAAATCTCCCCCACGGCCGTCCAGGACCAATCTCAAAATGCACTGGCCCTTCGCAACGAGATAGCACACGAAATCGACATCTTCGCGACACATAAGTTTAACACGTGTCCGTTCCGCTCCGACCGACGACTACACTGCCGTCGTACCATGTGTAGCGGCCGTCTACATCACCGTAATCTGCCCCACGGCCCTCGTAAGCCTGAACCTCAAAACGTCCCTGAAAATCCGCCTAGCACCTCACACCTGGCTACCTTCGATTTTGACCTCGATGACCTCTGAATTTTCGGAAAATAACAACCATGCTTATTTCATCCTAAAAAGTATTCTTTATTTCAGCCATTTCATATTATTCGTCATGAAGGCATTTTAAACATGTTGGAGATAAAATCATTACGAAAACGAGAACTTACTAAAAACGCATCAACAAGATCAAAATAAAAAACACATGGAAAAATTGTCCGTAGCCTGCAACAGCGTTTGAGATATCCAGGCCACCAAATTCACAGGCATGCATTCCAGTCGAGAAAACTGAAAAAAACTAATAATAGAACAATCCTTAATTTTATGAATCGCATCTAAATGTCTAAAAAAGAAGCTATTTTACAAAACATAAAATAAGCAAAAACCTACCATCATCATATGAGAGAAATCATATGTGTTCCTTACTTAAAGATATTACTTTTATAGCACAATAAATGTACCGTAGATTTGGTGGCTTGTTATCGCAGTTGATGTAGTTGGGATGATTGTTGTTGCGCGCCCGTCCTTAAGTAGTGGCGTCGGTAGTCGGGCGCCTCGTGCCAGTGCGCGGGGCCCGTTCCAGTGGGCCGCCTTGCGTTCTCGACAAAATGTCGAATCGCCTGTGCTAGTAGGAAAAGGCTTCTCGCGACTATTCCCATAGCGCGATTTCACAACTACCGTTCGTGAATGGAATACCGTGAAATGTATCCCTCTCTGTTTCCCCAGCTTTTTATGAAAGGGAACGGTCCTCAAATTCCGACCGTTTCCCGGCATATCCCCAATTAGCCTGGCCCTTTTCCCGTTCCACATGTTACGGCCGGGCCGCATAATTGGGGAAGGCCCAAACCCCCAATTGTACAACATAATATCTTGTGCCGTGTTCCTGTGATCTGTGTGGATCATAAAGCTGCTAACTGGAAGCGTTCTAAGCATTCTATACCGTATACATTCTATATCTACCAACGGACCTATCCCGCCACTGAGGGAAAGTCTGTTTATGGTGCGTCGGCCGGGAAAGCCATGCACATTCATTCATTCATGCACATGTCCGTCGACTTCTTAAGTTCCTCGAGCGAGATAGAGCGAGTCGACCTCGATCAGGATATATTTCTTAGGCCTGGCTCGGATCAACAATCATGGGCTATCGCGCGTATCATTGTGGATCCTGGATGAAGACACTCATGAAAGGTCCACCCCTTCCAGTGGCTTGACGCATTGAGTACAACTCTGTTTTTTGCTAGCGCTCTTCGTAAAAAACAACCAACAAATGCATTATAGTGGGCCGACGGGACTGCTTTTAGTCTCTTCTATAACTCTGTTTCCTCTTGCTGCTTTTCCAAAGTTTCGAGTACTGCTTTCCAATTCGTACGATTTCTAACTGCGGAATTATGGCTGGAAGAAGAACCGAGAACCTGACAGGAAGCGTACGGTACCCGTGCGTGCGTAGTATTCGCACCGGACGGTAACTCTCCATAAACGGGCTACCACTTTTTGTGGCAATCGCTAGCCCCACCTGCAGGATTGAGGGGAGGATTTTTGACCATGTACGAAACATGGAGATCCATAGGGTGATGCAATACCCAGTGGGACCAACAAGCACGTTTGCAAAAAATGCATGTGGGGCTGAAGGCATGCAAGCTACCAATCCCGTACGAAGAGGTAAGAATTTTTTAGTTTCACAGCATCAGAAAATAGAAACGCTCAAATAAAAAGGAATTTTTAGGAGGCCCGCCTCGACACCTCGCCGCGTCTTGAGTTCAGTTTAGCCTGGGCTTGGAATGTACAACGAGGGACATGGCTCGGACGAACGAGGGTAGCAGAAATCTTGTACAGCGGGCTGGCCGAAGCCGAAGAAATGTGAAAAATATCTTTTTTTCCGGATTATGGTGGATTATTGTGAATATATTTTTTTGGGCATTCCAATCCAATCGCGTTCAGCAGAACCCAAAAAAAAAACAGAACCAGAAAGCAACCAAGCGCCAAGTCAATGGAGCCCAATGACAGGAGAGCCGAAAAAGAGCCAGCGAGCCAGGCGCGCCAAGGGGACACAAAAATAAAGATAGGCAGGCCAGGCAAGCAATGCCGGCAGCATAAAAATGAGGAAAAAGAAGCCCCAGGGCAGTTCAGAAATCGTAAAAGAAGGCAAATGCCAAGGTTGTGCAGAATATAAACCAGGCGAGTGCCATGGGAAACAAACATCCAATCGTGTTCTACCATGGCGTCCGTCGACTTGTCTCTGGAGACTGCTGAAGCTGTGAAGAAAGCGTTCAAGAGGAAATGCGAAGAAAAGAGGGTAAGAACAGTTGCCGCTAAGCTTTAAGAAACTCTTCCGCTTTCAGATTGAGAAGCAAGCAACCGCGAACTGCACTGTATGCGAAAAAACTGGACACGGTGCAGCCAACTGCGGAGACTACGAGATCGACATCAAGGAGAAGTTGGCCCGTCTAAAGAACAAGCAGCAGTGTGCCAGGTAGCAACAGATATACAGGAACTAAAGCAAGATTTCTTTTAAGATGCGGAGGCGGATGCCCCAGACGCGGAAAAAGGTGCTTCACGATTACCGAGCGGGCGTTTCTCGCAACTATCGAGCGAAAAGGAGCTGTCCTTCCGGTCAGCTCCGGGGAATGTAAGTAAGAGAGAGGGAGAAAGAACTAGTAAAGAACTACAAACAGAAAGGTCTGCGAAGGTCCTTTCCCGAAACGGAGGTCCTCAAAACCGACCGGTTTCGACACAATCCTCTCTGGCCGTCTCTCTACACATCATACTACAAATGGCATCAACATTGCTCATGGTTGCCCAACATCGGTGCCAACTGGCTCTATATAAGTCCACCGCATGGGGGACTTCACTTCAACCAACAGCGAGCGCTTCCAACAGCGAGGCATTACCTTGGACCTTACCTTTACCTTGAATTATATTATTATATTATACTTTGTCACTTATTTATGCCAATAAACACTTAACGTTATTTGACCACTGAAATAACCGTTAAAGCGTTCATGGAGGCGAGTTGTACAGAAGTTGGAATATTTCATCTTCCCACACTGTGCCCGAAGTGGACCACGACCCAACGCCTTGGAGGAATCTACCTTGACAAATCCGCCAAGAAGCTCAAAAAGCCCGAATGAAATTACTGGGTGTATATTAAATACGTCGTGAATAAAAAATTTTTTTAAACAAACCAACAAGTATCGAAGAAAAGCAAGTTAACCATGATGAGGGAATTGCATAGGGATGTGAACACGAGGCTCAGCAAAAGGGCCTCCCAGCTCAAAACGGAAGAAATATTGAAGCCGTAGAGAAAAGAAAAAAAACATTTCATGGAGAAGTAGATTGGGTAGGATATTGCGAACAGCTAAAAATACTAAAAACATACACATTCCCGAGCTAATTGATGATGATAGAAACAATACCTTCATTCTCCGCGTAAGACAGCAAACCCCCAAGGTCTCAGGGCAAAATGATGCTACTAATATAACCCTCTCATTTAAAACACTAACCCCATGCCACTATCTAGCAGCAAAGCAACACCCCGAAAACCGATGACTATGTCCTGGTCACGAAAACTTGCAACGGCTCCGACTGTACATTAATTAAAGAATCTAACATTCTAGAATGGTCGAAATTTAAGACTGTTCTATACAACCCCCATTGCCGCTTAGAAATAGGTCTTTCTTACGCTCCTAACTAGGACATAGCCTCGAGATTATGAAGCCATCCACGACTTTTACAGCATCATTGTCGGAATGGCCGACACGGTGGCCGATCATCATGAAGTTGGGGATGTAAAATTTTAGAGAGAAATTACCTTTTAAAAAAACACAAAGACAAACGACTATGCACGCTTTGTTTCTTGTAAAAAATAAAAAAGCACCCTGCCCCTTTAAAACGGATAGGCACAGAATTTTGCAATTACATGAGCCTATCAAAAAAAAAATAGCCTGTAACTCCTAAAATTACACATGATAATCTACCTCCACAATATTCACTACAAAACCTACCGATTAAATTGAAGCTACGTATTTAAAGTAAAAAAATAAAAAAATCTAATTCGCCGACAAGAGCCTTCATAGAATTTTGCGGCCAGCTAAAAAAGGCTAAAAAGGACACGCGATACCACGAGCAAGTGTAGACGTTAAAATTATATAAAAGGTAAAGCATCAAAAAGGCATCTATTACCGGTAGTACACTAATATCAAATCCAGACCGTCGTGGCGACCCTGGATGTTCTGAGCAAGAAGCCCAGCTTCGGGCAGGCCCAGTAGCTGGAAGTGAAAATGAACTGGCCCGTTTACAGGATTTTCGGACCAGCAGTCAAGTATACGCCATACGCCAAGTTATTCAATATGTTTTCAGAGCTCTAATAGTATATAAAATAGTAATACGACCTGTATAGTGTATAAAATCGATAAAATGGTAATTCCCATGAAAGTTGGGTCCAGGCTTTTCCATTTTCCTTTCGGGTTTTGGCCTATACCGCGTCTGTTTTTGATCGCCAACTGGTTTTCCGCAAAATTTTTTGATTGTTCTTTTAATTGGCTTAATGATTCTATGTTGGTTTGTTAAGTTTTCGTTTTTTAATGCTGAAGAAACGTTATTAAACAAGAAAAACAGCTCTCGGTTTTATCCAAATTCAGGGCAAATTCGAACACGGAATGAAAAACGCAAAAAGAGAAAAATCAGGGCGCTCGCCCATCTTGGAAAGATAGTCAATGTAGCGTTTTTTAAATTTTTGCTATCAGTTGGTACGTGTGTATTTTATAGGTATAGTTGTGGATTTACTGTCTATATTCTTGGCGATACCAATTTTATCAAAAACATTTCATCAAAGTAGCAGAGTCACCCACACGCTCGACCCTTTCCGCCAGCGGCTCCCTGAAAAAGAAATATTATCTTGATTCCAGGCAGCATCAGCATTTTTTTGCTCAAGTTGATGAATTTCTGCATGTAGCTAAACTTGTAATGTAAGTTAAATTTTTGCAGTTTGCATATTTGGAGCCTGAATCATGCAGGCTAAATCACTTCAGAAGTGTAAAGAGGAACTCTTCGTTCGTTTTGATCCGATATAAGGGTAGTTTTCAGCAATTTAACGTTTGAACGGGATGTTAAAAAAACTAACGGAAATTTTAACTAGACCAATTTAAGTGAAATTCAATAGGTCACGAAGCCTGGCTAAGAAAACTGTTTTTCTAGGTCGGTTTACAAATTAAAGCCTTAAAAAGACTATTTGGAAAACTCTTTTTATAAATTGCCTACCTGAGAAAATTATAAATCAAACTTTACAATTCCAATCAGGACTTTTAAAAATGTTCAAAGACTTACAGGAATTATTGCCGGTGCCAGGCCATCCTTCAGGGATCATTTGCCTTCCAACGTTCTGAAAAAGTGACGGTATAATTGGTAATAAATTAACGTATTTTCCCTCAGCATATTTACGCTATCATTTAAACAGATACTACTGGTATTCACTAAAGTTTAGGAAAGCTTACGTACCTTTAAAATTTGACCTTAGCCTGTTGGAGCTCCCTGGCTCCATCTGTTCAGCACCGCCGTCATTCCGAGCTTGGGCAGAGGAGTTGAGACGTTCTATCTCCTGGAAAATTTAATTGGAAGGCAGCAGTTGATTACACATCACAGTTGGGCAATCCTAGAGTCCTTAAAGGGGCTCGGAGGTCAAAATTCGTGCGTGCCTGCGTTTGATTAAACCTACTGTCCAAAAACGAAAGACCCCTACCGAGAAGCACCAGAAAATTACAATCAGGGGAAATTACGTTGCGAAAAAAAAACGTACAGTTTTGAGTAAAACTAAAATGTTCTTGGGATAAAAACCGCTTTTTGAGTGTGTGACGATTACCTGTCGTAATGCCTTGTAAGCTAGTCAATTTCTCTAATGGATGATTCTCTGATCAACTTTCATAATTGAAAATTCTATATTGATCAAAATTCGGTGAGGCTTCCAGAAATAGCTTCAGAATGTTTAAATTCAAGCTTAGGAAAGCAAAAGATCATGCGGCGCGGTTGTGTCTGGCTATTTGACAGGAATCAACGCCGGGAGCCGTGGGCCAGTTTTCGGAGCCCCTTTAACTCCGCATTTTGATCAGGCGGCTACACGATCTAGGGCTACGGCTATCAGGCCTACACGATCGAAAATCGTCAAAGTCACCTACCTGGTCGATGCTCCGTGGTCGCCAGATGTCGCAAAGTAACCTCTGCAGAACGTGAGGTGCCTGTTGCTGCGGAAACTGACAATTCAGCTTGTCGATCGGCCAGGGGAGCATCGTAGCCTCGCTTTCTGGAAAATCTTCGGCTCTATACCGGTAACGGGGTCCTTAAAAAAAATAAGGGTCCTTAAAAAAAATAAGGGTCCTTAAAAAAAATAAGGGTCCTTACTAAAAATAAGGGTCCTTAAAAAAAATAAGGGTCCTTAGAATTTCAGCTTAAGGACCCCTGTCCCGAAAGGGGTCCTTAAAATAGATGCTATTTTTAAGGACCCCGATTCCGGCAACTCCCGAAAATACAGTATTTTCACCGATTTTGAACAGATTGTCCCTCGTTTAGCCATTTACATTACGCGGCTTTCTTACACACAGTTTGTGCCTAAAAATAAGGCTTCGTGCCACCCCGGGGCCTAGTCGCTTCGGATGGGCGCGAGCTCGTACAGGGTTTCGAAATCGGGGCGCCCGAGGCGCGCGCAGCGGCCAGGCGCTCCGATTTCGAAAGAGTGGAGCGGCAGCCCATCCGAAGCGACGGCCCGCCTTGCCTGACGCGCCATAAGCCTCAAATCGTGCTCATCCCCACAGAAACTTCCACGCAATCTGACGTGCTAGGTTTTTTAGCCAGGGACAATTCGAGGCTTAGGGTGTGTCAGGCAAGGTGGGCCGTCGCTTCGGATGGGCTGCCGCTCCACTCTTCCGAAATGTGGGCGCCCCCGGCCGCTTCGCCGGCCTTGGCGCCCCCATTTCGAAACCCTGTACGAGCTCGCACCCATCCAAAGCGACTAGGCCCCGGGTGGCACGAAGCCTTATTTTTAGGCACAAACTGGGTGTAATTCAAAATGCGAAACAAAGGACAATCTGTCGCGAATCCGCGTCTCCGCGAAAACGGCGCAAATACTGTATTTTCGGGAGTTGCCGGAATCGGGACAGGGGTCCTTAAGCTGAAATTCTAAGGACCCTTATTTTTTTTAAGGACCCTTATTTTTTTAAGGACCCTTATTTTTATTAAGGACCCTTATTTTTTTTAAGGACCCTTATTTTTTTAAGGACCCCGTTACCGGTATAGAACCAAATCTTCTTCTGGATTTGCCCCCCAACTTGAATAGTACCAAAAAATAACCCTGAAATCGGAAACGGATCTAGATTGACTGTCCTGTGACTTAAACCGGTCAGGGTCGAAAAGCCGCGACGCGTTTTGATGTAAGGCTTGATTCTCAGACACTTACATTACCACTTCATGGCCTCTTCAATAAATGTGCAAAGATCGTCCACCATGGCAACGAGACAGGCTCAAATCAGGGTGATTTTTTATGTGAACAGCTTGAGACCAACATTCCGTCCGGCCGCTGCTTTGCCATCACTCGTCAGTAACTCATAGCACGTGTTTCCATCGGTCGGCAGAATCATCTAAATTTATTATGTTTTGGTAGTATCTGGTATTTAAAGTCCTGGTTGCAGCTAAATTCAGCTACGGTTTGGTTTAAGCCGAAGTGCTAAACTAAGATTTTATAGCATTTTTCCGGTGCACGCTCGCGCCGGCCACTTGTTTTAGAATACCTATTAGAGTCTTGAAAATCAGAATCTCGAATTTTTAGAATCTGGAATTTTAAAGATCTCGAATTTTCAGAATCTCGAAATATGCCTAGGCTGGATTCAGGGCGTAGGCCTGCAATTTCTGGAGCCTTGCATGCTGATTTAGACCTTGGTAATTTCGAGATTCTGAAAATTCGAGATTCGGATTTTCAAGATTCCGGTTTTCGAGATTGACAGATTCCCACATATTATCCTGATGTTCATGCTATTTCCGAAATGCTCATTATACTCCGATAATTAACCAAAAGAAGCATCACCCACCCTTCCGTCTCCTATCCCTTTTCTATCCTTCCGCGGTCACCAATTGTAATATAGTAGAGCGGCAAATAGAACGTAGAAAAATATCGTATCCGTGAAAATTCCGTAATGCAGATTCGAGGCGCTCGATAATTTTTTTAAGCATAGTTCCTTCCATCCAGGTTTTTGATGGTGAACTTTTGGGAGATTTCATCTGGGAAATGAACTCGGATGATGATGCTTATTCAGGACTAAATGGCCTTTTTAGACGATCCAGTACCGCAGTGCGCATACGATTTCTTGGCGCGCCCGTTGGACTATCAACTGTACGCTTTTTCCGTGGTGAGTCGTTGCCTCAAAATTTTTCGGGAGCTTTGACAGTTTTCCTGGCTGTGTCAGCATTGCGCTTGAACGCTTCCCATTCCTTGCTCTCTGAGTTTCAAAGTTTAAGAGCTGCACGTGAGATCTGATGTTCAAACCGGCTTGTCCGGAGAGGAAACATCCTGTGCCGAATCCCGGTTTTCGAATTTGAAACATTGCTTGTTCTTGTCAAAAATCTTCAGCTGGTAAATGGGGCTCATCACTGTTTCCCCGGTTAATTAGCAGGTGCTGTGTTGGGCCAATTCCGTTTAAGTTTTCATTTTCCAATTTCAACGAAGTGCAATTTTTGTCGTAGCAAATTTATCTTCTTCATTTCTTCATCATTTCCTCATCAACCTCTCTTCGTGTTTTGCTCCCTTTGTTGCCGGTCGGTACGCCCAATATTGCGCTCGAGTAAGAAACCCCATTTGGAAACGGCTTTGTAGATGGTATAAAATTAGGTGTAAGTTCGGTGCTCTTCCTTGATGATGCAGTGGTTCTCGATTTTTCTTTGAATTACAGATTTGGCTTCGTTTTTTCAGTTCCGCACGTACGTTGCTGTATCGAGGTGATCACCATTTATGTGGTGGAATTTTGCTCGTCTCCTTTCTTAGTCTTCCCAGTTGGGCGGCTTTTCATTCACTCCCCTTTCTTGTTACAGCTACTTTTGATTCAGGTTTAAATTGAAATAATCATTCGGTTTGTTCCGCTCAAATACGAAGAGAGCGTTTCGTGGTTGGCCCAAACATTGCCTTGACCAAGGCCTCGGATCCGTAAAATTTGCCGTTGCGTTCTTCCATAGCCAGACGGCTAGCGCTAGTATCTCTGGGGATACTGCGGAGCACTCGAGCTTCCCCCCCGAGCATTCCCTCGATGCTGGTGATTCAACCCTATACTTGATAATTTTTTTACTATCTTAGACCGTCGATTGGAAAAATAGTAGGCCATAGAATTTGAAAGTACAGGTCGCAACAAAAATTACTCCGCTCTAGCCGGCCGCAGTCGGGTTCGATTCTTAAGGTTTAGGTAACTATCGAAAGCTCCCGGGAAGCTGATATTGGACGTTTCGAATGTTTGGCTAAACTTTTGACATTTTTCCTACAAAGGGCTCTATTTTCGATACAATATTCCCAAAGCCTCAATTTAATCGGCTGAAGCGCCAGCCAAGCTGTGGCCGTGACCTGTCCCCACTTTTCTTTTAGGCCTTTTTAATAGAAAATCTGGAAATCGAAGGACGCTTACCTTTTAATTATTTGCAAATGACCGTGCTTTTATACCGGAACGCATTTTGTTCGATTTCATTAACATCATAAATCTGAAAATTGAGTGGTTTCTAGTAATCATGCATCAGCAAGGGAAGCGTGCGAGAGGGAGAGAGAGTGAGAGAGAGAGAGAGAAAAGGTTACCTTTTCATTGGATTCCCCGCAGCCATGCGCCGTCGTGGCTGCTTTCAATTTTGTGTAGTCTTGGGTGATCCCGAACAGGCTGGGGTTGCAGTTCATTTTCATCAATATACTTTTGCTGAAATTTGAAATATCAACATGTCATTAATAACCTAGAACCCACCAAAATTCATTAAATCCCAAAAAAAACAATTAGGGATGTTGGTTGCTCTTGGCCGACCATTTTCTGGAAATGACTTTCGTGATCGCTACAAGCAAAACCAAAACACTCACCTAATAATCATCGTTTTTCCATCATCTATCTCTCCAATGTGACAAAACGTCGGTGTGCCTATTAAAACATTGAAATGTGCGCAGTGCAAAAATTACCGTTGAAATCCATGCTTCTTCGGTATATTCAAATTCATATTTTTCATTGTTTAAATCGATTTAAAAAGAAATCCGGTAGCCGAGAAGTTCGACACCGGTGGGTGTGTCGCCTCGTTGAGGGAGGCGAACATCATCGGAATGATTGCCCAAATCGAGGCCGAGACCTGAGATTAGAAAATTTGCATGGATTGTAAATGCAATAAAGGCATGAAGAAAAATAAAAATGAAAAGAAATAAAAGAAATAAAAATAAAACAAATAATGAAGAGGATTTGTGGTTTCCGATTGTCCTCAATTTCGATCATCCCCCGAACATTTCGATATATTTATTGGTATTTGATCAAAATTTTGTTAAGTTTAAAGAGGAGATTGTTAAGTTTTAAAGATTTCATCGGAGGAGATTATGGATATAGAGTAAGCAAAATCGAGAGAGAGAGAGGGAGAGAGAGAGAGAGAGAGAGAGAGAGAGAGAGAGAGAGATAGGGAAAAAGGCAGGGAGAGAGAGGGACAGAAAAAGTGAAAGCGAAAGAGAGAAAGCTAGAGATAAAGAGATAGTGAGAGAGCAAGAGAGAGTGAAAGCGAGTAAGGGTTATCGAGTGAGGGAGAGAAGAAGATATTCAGTTGAAAAACAGAATTCGAAGCGCTCGTTCCCCGTTCACAGTAGGATCGGTCGATCAAATCGCAACGCGGCGGCGGTAGGGAGAAGAAGCGCAACGTGTATCAGCATCGATTTGACCGGAGGGGTCCGGCAGACGATGAAAAACAAGGGGCTTGAGGCGGGCGGCCGAGTGTGGGAGGAATGCAAAACAGGGCCCTATCCTTCGTCCCATGTATCAATCGATGGCCGAACGGGTGACCGTTTAAAGGGGGTATGGAAGGCGAGAAGCTTCTTTCTATATGCGCGAAAATCGAATCCGAACCAAACTAAAGTTAGGATTTATCTAAAATCCGGAGCGACGCATTAACAAGAAAACATTAGATTTTGAGAAAGAATCTAATTTTCAGCTTGTCAGTCCATAAAATGAGCAAAAAAAGGTTTTAAAACATTTCGAAAGTCTTTAAGCATGTTCCTGCGCCGAAGTCGTCAGTAACTTTTTCTACG